ACGAACATATTCTGTTAAAGACTACAGTCGTCTAACATACAAACAGATTCTATTAAAGTCTACAGTTATCTAATATACGAACATATTCTGTTAAAGACTACAGTCGTCTAACATACAAACAGATTCTATTAAAGACTGCAGTCGTGTAACATACAAACAGATTATATTAAAGTCTACAGTCATCTAACATACAAACAGATTCTATTAAAGTCTACAGTCATCTAACATACAAACAGATTCTATTAAAGTCAACAGTCATCTAACATACAAACATTCTATTAAAGTCTACAGTCGTCTAACATACAAACAGATTCTGTTAAAGTCTACAGTCATCTAACATACAAACAGATTATATTAAAGTCTACAGTCATCTAACATACAAACAGATTCTATTAAAGTCTACAGTCATCTAACATACAAACATATTCTACTAAAGTCTACAGTTGTGTGACATACAGATTCTATTACAATCTACAGTCATCTAACATACAAACAGATTATATTAAAGTCTACAGTCGTCTAACATACAAACAGATTCTGTTAAAGTCTACAGTCATCTAACATACAAACAGATTATATTAAAGTCTACAGTCATCTAACATACAAACAGATTCTATTAAAGACTAAAGTCGTCTAACATACAAACAGATTCTATTAAAGTCTACAGTCGTGTAACATACAAATAGATTCTATTAAAGTCTACAGTCGTGTAACATACAAATAGATTCTATTAAAGACTACAGTCGTCTAACATACAAACAGATTCTGTTAAAGTCTACAGTCATCTAACATACAAACAGATTCTGTTAAAGTCTACAGTCATCTAACATACAAAAAGATTCTATTAAAGACTACAGTCGTCTAACATACAAACAGATTCTGTTAAAGTCTACAGTTATCTAACATACAAACAGATCCTATTAAAGTCAACAGTCATCTTTTGGATACCAAAGTTTATATGTAAAAGTCTGTATAATTTAATAAAATTACTTAAAGGCAGATAGAAGCTGGATTATGTAAAATCCTGTCACATATATGTTGAATAATACACACAGTACTGTTTATCTTTATAATCCTGATAAAATAATTTTGGATTTAGAATTTAGAACACTACTGAACAGTGATTTAGTGTGGTAGTATATTTTCAACATAGTTAACAGCACATTTAACTAGAACTTAGAACACTGTTGAACAGTGATGTTAACTAGAATTTAGAACACTGCTGAACAGTGATTTAGTGTGGTAGGATATTTTCAACATAGTTAAGAGAGCTGTTAACTAGAACTTAGAACACTGTTGAACGGTGTTGTTAACTAGAATTTAGAACACTACTGAACAGTGATTTAGTGTGGTAGGGTATGTGTAACTCTGGAATTTGAAACATCATTAAAAGTGGTATCACACAGCCTGGAACTTATAAGTGTTTTTACGTACTTTAATTAAGAACATTGTTAACGAGTGGAATCACATGATATGAAATTTGAAATAGTGTGAAGAGTGATGTTGCATACCACAGAATTTGGATCAGTGTTGTCATGTGTTCTGGAATACTTCACAGTATCTTCTACATCTTCAAATGTTTCAATCCATTGTCAGAAAAAGATTACTGTATATATACATTTAAAGTTCCTAATCAACATTAATTATTATAACACTGATTCTTATCATTTGCTTCCAAAAAAACAGCCGTTACCTTTTTTTTCTTTAAACACCAACACACTCAAGCAGAATAGAAGCTTCATTATCTCCCCAAAGAGTGAATAAACACTGAGTTACGAATAAGTCTAGTTGTTGCTTCAACAACTTGTACTTAACCCCATTCATATGGGTGGGGGTTCAAAGTTCACATTATAAAATGTTACAGAATTACAATCAAAACAACTTTATTATCAATACATGTCAACAAGCTTGGCATCAAAGAGTTTTTTATACTTTTAATACTATAATTTCTAATTTTGAAAGGAAATATTTAAATTAATCCTCAATCTTTACTTCCTTGTGTTACATGACATTTATTCACTTCAAATTGCCCATTTTCTTTTATTATGATCTTCTTAGTTGACACAAAGTACACATGTATAGTATAGTATAGATCCTTCTAAGCTATAAAGTACATTTATAACCTCCAATCTTCCTGCTTAGAAAGTCACACCCCCATGACATACCCCCTCCTATCACATCAGGTCTTTCAAAAAAGTCTTTAATTCTCTATAACATTGCTATTGGTGATGTTTATAACCAATAGAAAGAGCAAATTGTACACTAAATAAATCACATGATTTCTTTGAGTTATTACAGCTCAGCGGGTTTGGACCAATCCCAAGTATTTAACTTAATTATAAGGATAATTAGAAAGCTAATTACAATTGTTTCTGTGTAATCCAATCAAGTAAGTGAAATGTTTCTGGTTTATTAAAATTCATATCAGGAAGATACAAGAACTATTTTCTGGACAACTAACCAAGTAGAAAAAAAAAAGTTACAAAAGCGTGCACAAATGCAAAATTGTCTACAGCTAAATGAAGTCCTAAAGTCCTTGGATGTTTTTTTACTAAAACAAAGTCCTAAAGTCCTTGGATGTTTTATTACTAAAACAAAGTCCTAAAGTCCTTGGATGTTTTATTACTAAAACAAAGTCCTAAAGTCCTTGGATGTTTTTTTACTAAAACAAAGTCCTAAAGTCCTTGGATGTTTTTATTACTAAAACGAAGTCCTAAAGTCCTTGGATGTTTTTATTACTAAAACAAAGTCGTAAAGTCCTTGGATGTTTTTATAACTAAAACAAAGTCGTAAAGTCCTTGGATGTTTTTATTACTAAAACAAAGTCGTAAAGTCCTTGGATGTTTTTATTACTAAAACAAAGTCCTAAAGTCCTTGGATGTTTTTATTACTAAAACCAATTTTTGTAATCACTACTTGAGAAACATACATAGTTAAATGTCACGTGATGTAACCTGAAACTTTATTTACCCTAAACTCTTCACACTCGTGATGGGTGATTTACTGTGGTAGATAGACAGGGCTCAAAAACCAATAAAAGAAAGCAGTTGTTAAAAGTTAAAGGTCTAAAGTTCTATAAATTATTTCCGTTAGTGTTAGGGTTGTGAAAATAAGAGGTAAAGTATAGAGTTTGGCAACAAAAAAATCTATTTAGGAGATTTTAGAGGCTAATAATCAAATGAAACATGAACAGATTAAGATGAAAAGAACTATCTTTATTCTTTAGCATTAAAATGGCCTTTCACTCAGGCTGACTCTGTAAGGGCTTCATAACTTCACAGACAAATCTTTATTATAAATACTTTCTTAAAAGTTCTGATTATTTGTGTACAACAGACTTTCCAAGTTTACTAAAAGCTTGCCAAATTTCATGAAGATACACAAAGTAAATTCACCTTACTTATTTCATCTCATTGAAAATATCATTTTACAGATAATTGTTTAGATATATATATATATATATATATCTAATAAATAACAGTATTGTCTACAAGATACCGAAAGCCTAAGAAACTTCATCAATCTACTACAACGACATTTCAAGGGGTTTATGTCATGCATTAGTTGCTTTTATATAGAACTCCTACTTACTGAAGGAATAAAACCTAAACACTGTTGTGTTAACACTTTATATAGAACTCCTATTTACTGAAGGAATAAAACCTAAACACTGTTGTGTTAGAACTTTATATAGAACTCCTACTTACTGAAGGAATAAACCTAAACACTGTTGTGTTAGAACTTTATATAGAACTCCTACTTACTGAAGGAATAAAACCTCTGTTGTGTTAGAACTTTATATAGAACTCCTACTTACTGAAAGAATAAAACCTAAACACTGTTGTGTTAACACTTTATATAGAACTCCTACTTACTGAAATAATAAAACCTAAACACTGTTGTGTTAACACTTTATATAGAACTCCTATTTACTGAAAGAATAAAACCTAAACACTGTTGTGTTAACACTTTATATAGAACTCCTATTTACTGAAGGAATAAAATCAAAACACTGTTGTGTTAGAATTTTATATAGAAATCCTACTTACTGAAGGAATAAAACCTAAACACTGTTGTGTTAGAACTTTTCAATTAACATTCAATCTTGATACAACTTGTTAGACTGTCTCTTTAAATGAGTTACGTCACAGAAAACTTAACATCTTGATACAACTTGTGAGACTGTCTCTTTAAACGAGTTAGGTCAAAGCAAACTTAACATAGCCCACAACTTCAAGTCATTATACACCTGTATTCTCTACTTAGTTGTTCAGTTGATGTCATACAACAGAAACACCTATAGTGTTTAACAACATCTGTTTTTATGCAGCTTTTTTTATAGCAACTAATTCCATATAGCTGCCAAAGACAAACTAGTTAAGCACACTTTCATGGTGAAAGAAAATGGGGGGAACCTGACTTTTATTGAACAATTCAAAGATTTATATAGTTAAATCCCTAATTTAAAATAAGAAGACCATTTTTTGCTTGACATCTGTACATATGGCATCTTTTAAAGTTGTTTTGATCATTTCATTAAACACAAGTCCAAACAGAATTAAATCTTTTTTCTTCTTTTACACATTACATACTTTTCTGGGCAGAAATAATTGGTAGAGACAATGAAAACTCTGACTGCAACAAGTATGTTTCTCAACAATATTAACCTAAAAATAAAGTAAGTAAAATTTTACAATTCAAAGAAAACAAGTAAAAGATCAGATACCATACTTTATAAAGATACAAGTTATTTACTGTTTAAACCAACTTACAGAGTACAAAACTAAAGTGACCTACCTTCTGAGTCCCAGAGACCTGCAAGAAAACTACACACTAGAATAACTTCTTCCTTCAAATACAGATGTCAATGAAAAATTGAATTTACGTACCTTTTTAAAAATAAAAGTCACTAATCTGGATTCTTATCTTTCTGCTGTCAAACTTACATCGTTGTCAGAAGCTCGCACATCTCCATTTTCAACTAAAACAAAAATCAATAATAGCATAAGTTTCTCAACAGTTGTTCATTAGTTTAAACTTATATATATACACTCCTTTTACATAGTTTTGATTTTAATCTACAATGTTTGATACCACCTAGAAACTATAGAGCACTGGTAGCTGCTCTAGAAATCAGGTATGGAACTCAAAACCAGTCCAAAGTCTACAGGGCTAGGTTTAGGATGAGAGTCTGTGCTAAAGGGGAGAGCCTGCAAGAGCTGGCACATGATTTGGAAAGTATGGCACACAAACCTAACCCAACTGCACCACCCGATGTCCTCAAGCTGTTGCTAAGGGATCAGTTTGTAGATGCCTTGGACAGTCCACAACTGAAGATACAAGTAAAGCAAGCACACCCCTCTACCATGCAGGATGCAATGGCCAGAGCTCTTGAATTCGAATCCTACGTTAAGACCAGCACAGAGGTACCAAGGTTGGTACAGTCATCAGGATTCAAGGTCAGAAAAAGGCAGCTTTGAGAGAAGTTTTAGGGACTTTGCTGCACTGTAACAAACCTGGGCACAAGAGAGCTCAATGCTGGCAACTTCAAAACATGGAAGATGTCATGGCAGGAAAGGCTGCCACCCAGAAAGGTTATTGGAACTGTGGAAGG